TATTCCTGTTTCAGGAGTTAGGGCTTATACACCGACACACAGCAAGATGATTCCATAAGCCTCCTATAACTCACTTCTAAAGGGTTCTGACGGTGGTGTGTAATACACAGACTTACTGGGTTTCTGCACTTTTTTCTATAATCAGGTATTCTGCACTTTCTATCCTAGTTCCACGCATGTGCGTGCTTTATTACAATTTTTATTGCATACTTCCTTGTTATCTCCCGCCGGATTAGCCTGGTCTCAGGTGATTAAATAGCTGCGTGAATCTGACCGAGGTTGTCCAGTGATTGAAATTAGCTCTTTCTAAGGGGCCCAACTTAGTAGGTGTCTTCCCCCCTCTCACCTCAGACGGAAACGGTTCCAGTTTCCAAATCATCGTGTTTTCTATTTTCTAGAATACCGAACGATGGGGAAAGTCCAGAAACCCAGTAACTCTGTGTATCCTTCAGGTCTTTTTCAAAATAAGGGAGGTAAGTTAAAAATAGTAATAACAGAAATAGTAATACATCCACTCCCCCATACGCCTTCATGGCGCAGGGCTTAATTAGTTAAGCTTAGGGACAACTTTACCTTTAGTAGTGGCAGTAGTTGTAGTACCAGTATTAGTAGTAGCAGCAGTGGTGGTGGCAGTAGTAGTAGTACCAGTATTGGTAGTAGCAGTAGTGGTGGTGGCAGTAGTGGTAGTAGCAGCAGTGGTGGTGGCAATAGTAGTAGTGGTAGTAGTAGTAGCAGTAGTAGTGTTAGATTAAGAGCGAGGTAGTACAGAGGAAGGAGGATGAAATTAAAAAGAAGGAGAGAGATGGGGGATAGAAAATCAGAAGATGAAACGGAGGAGGAGAGAGACAATAAGATGGACGAGGGAGATGAAGCTTTGCGCATAATGGAGGGTAAGATTTTGAAGTACGAGAAAAATAAAGTGGATATGACAATGAAGCAGAGGGCGTAGATAAGAGGAATTACATGGCTTATGCGAAGAATGAACAGGGAGATAATTAACACGCATGGGAAAAACAAAAAAGAGCGAAATCCTGAATTTGGAGCCCGTTTAATTCAGTTTGCAATGCTCACCGATTTCCGCACCGCCCGTCTTAATATTGTGCTCCCAGTTGCATATTGTCACCCCAAGTGGCCTTAAACCTCGAGATTTCCCTTTCAGAATGTTTATGAGCGTTTCTTGTTTTACCTTGTCCGTTTCAGCTTCCATAATGTAGATGTCGAAAACAAAGCATTGGTCTCCTTATTCTGAAAATTTCTCCATTCACAGCCAATCTATTGTAAGAGCGGACATTTTCAGCTCTGCGTTTTCAAATGATTCCAAACAGTCCCGTCTTCTTCAACATAAGAAACTAAGTTGTGTTATCAGGCCAAAGGCCTCCCTGAGCAGTCAGTATATATTCAGTTTTTGTGTTTCGTCCAATTCATAGCCAGACTCTTTTTGCAACTTTATATCATGAAGTTCTCTAACGACGAGCATGCAATATTTGCAGCTTAGAATGTACAGAAATAAGCACCGTTCTACTGATTGTCTTCTTGTAGAGTATGTTACTGTCTTTTGCAATGTGACGTCATGTAGCCCGGCCAAGGTTCACTGACATTTCGGAGGAAAATACTGCTTCGTTCATCAGGGCTGAAGAGTAAGACAAACAAGCAGAGAAAAGTAAATATAACTTAAAGATGAAGCCACATCGGTGAACTTCTACCGGACTACACACCCTAATATCCCAAAGTATATTCATATCTGTGAGAACCTCAGATGCGATGCTTATTTCTTTATTTCTTCGTGATCGAATTATTGGATTGGTATGCCTAATGGGATATAGTATTTTGACTAGGACGGTACTGGGCTAAAAATAAACGAACAGAGGCACTGTAAAAATAATATTATAGCAAGGCCTAAGCAGATTACAATAACAATAATAACAACATTGTTGCATACTTATAATTTTACAACATAAATACCATCATTTCGATAACCCTCCCTACTGCTTACTCCCTCACATACTGAGTATTAGTAGGTACTGAAGACCATCCGAACAACTTAAGTATAAACAATCTTAGAACTTCTGATACATAAAATACCTTCTAATTACTTCCCAGGCTTTCTGGAACGAAATTCCCTTATGCTTTCGAGAATTAAAATATACATGGCCCGTTTAATAGAAATGTATGTATCAGTTCCAGCATTATAGCCTTCGGGGATTTGACGCCGAGTACTTTGATAAATAAGCGCAAATATTACGTATAAACCTGCTGCCTTCATCTACTGGTTCTACCCTGAAGATGGAGGCAGCAGGTTAGCCCGAAAGGTTATCTACCTACCAAACTGGATATCATATCCCAGAAGATCGTATACCAGATACTCACCGCCGTGAGTGTTCATTTAATACAGCCCCAGCCTAGTCCCTGCCAGGAATCGAATCCCCGTCCCTCATCCCGTAAGAGCCCTTTTAATGAAGAGTGTCATCTTCTGGGATGTGGCTCCATGTAATTTGGTAGGTAAGTAGCAGAATTCCGGAGAAATGTTCTGCCTTCACGTTCCTCCGAAACGTCAGTAACTTAGCTGTTAAACAAAGCGACAGCACATTGCAGAAGAAAATCGTCTTCAAAGTGAGAAACCCAAATCGCGCAATGTCTTTATTTACTGGCCTGTTACGTCTTATCGTGATCTTGCCTTATTGTAACATTCTGGCAAGATCAGTTGCAGTTTCCATGATGTAATTTCAGTTTCGTCGAAATGTATTCTTTAGTGCTATTCTGTCGTTAATACTTCATTAATATTTATGTAAGCATAATTATTATAAATGTAAATGAGGTGGTATATCAGAACTTACATAACACGCCAGGGACTGTAGAATGAAACTGTCAATACTGTATAACAAAACTAAGTTACTACCTCTGAGGAACACAACAAAATATTGTCACACTATACGACATTATATCGTTAATAATCGACATTTTTTCTGGCAGCAAGGAGCAACAATTCTCCCGTGTTACCTAACGTAATGACAGAAATTTTAAAATTTGTTAATGATCAAGCTCATATTATTAGTTGAAAAGATACATCGCACAAAGTTATATTGAAGCAGTGTTAAAATATATAAGCATATACTTATATTCAGTACATATTAATACTTACGGTAAAGCTATATTTAATTTTTAGTTACCAGTGCAATTATATGTCCAACACCTCGCTCCACGTATTACTCTTGTCTGCTGTTTCACCGTATTATTTAGCTACTTCAGTGTTACAAAGGAGATATTTCGTCCACAAACTGGGTTTCTCTACTTTGAATGTGTTTTAACCAACAGTGCCAATAGAACCTCTCCTGTCATTTTCTGGAATTTTTAACCAACTCCTATGTCTTTTTGTCGTGGAAGTTACCACAGGGATATCGAAAATGAAGGAGGCCTTTACTGGTTTCTTGAGCACCTAGTATGAAAATGCCTAAGCAATTCAGAAACTTCTGGCCTCTGTGCTTTTTGTCTTTACCTATTTTAACTTCTATGGACCTAGTTGATAAGAATATCCATAATGCCTACAAATAATTTCAGTTTCAGACGCACATAATCAAATCTTGGATCCTCTGGACAGTACTCAAAGAGTTAAGCTGGGGAAATTATTGACAACGTTTCAGCATGTTGTAAGAAACTAAAGTAATTCAAATCATTATTAATGTTTCATGGTTTGGATCTTATCTGTTGCAGAGGTTATTCACAGTTGGTCAGGGGCATGTTGGACCTAAGCTGAATGACATAATAATCTACTGGAAAAAACTACAAAATAAGGAGCTTCATAAAATTTACTCCTCGCCAAATATAATTAGACTGGTCAAGTCATGGAGGTTGAGATGGGTAGAGCATGTAGCACACAAAGGGAGAAGAGGAAGGTATAGAAAGTCTTGTTGGGAAATTTAGGTTTGAAGATAACATTAAAATAGATGGTAGAGAAGTAAATGAGGTGACATGAACTGAATTAATATGGCTCAGGATAGAGACCCGTGGCGGGCTATTTTAAGCATGGTACTGAACCTGCGGATCCAGTAGAATTTGGGGAAATTTCTTGAGTGGCTGTGCGACTGGTGGCTTCTTAAGAAGTACTTAGTTGCATGGAGTTGGTTAGTAAATATTTGTGGCAGTGAGTACAGGGTGATTCCACGTAAATTATTGTCGAGGTTTCCGTTTATAGGCAACAGAAACCCGGACAGTAATTTAGAATCATTCTATATATGAATATGGGGAAAAATGACAATCTCTTATCAACTAGACCGGACCTCAAGTATGGAATCTCTTGCTCAAATGACTATAAAGCAACTACAAAATGAGTGTCTCCGAAAATATTTGGATATAAACATGTAATTAAATGCTATATTTAAAGTTCTCATGGCGCTGAATATAAATATCAGTCTTCTAGAATATGGTGTCATTATCGACGTTTCGGAGGAAGCTGCTACCTCCCTCTTTAAGGTACAGAAATAAGGTGAGGAGTTTTGTGACACTCCTTTGCATTTCCGAAGTCCCCATCAGTAACTGCGATGCCTCAGCTTATACCTTGATGATGGAGGCAGCAGGTTCTTCCGTAAAGTTGATAACTTTCTACCAGAAGACAGTAATTTTCGTTTTCATTAAATATAAGTCACTCATCACGCAAAATATTACACAATTTCTTTCCGTTAAGTCTACTTTTACACTCTAAAAAAAAGTGGAATCAAGTGAGTGAGATGGAAAGCTACAAGAATGTCATGAAAGAAGCAGAAGGCAGATTTCGTTGTCAGCCCTGATTTCAATATTGCTTCATTTTCTCCATTAAAATGTCCACCCTTACAGATGATATAATACTGTACTTTCAAAGTACTTATTCATAATTTACATTTAGATATATAGATTTTTCTTTAGCACGAGACCAAATCCGTATACCGTCGGTCGTCATACCGCAATGAAGATATTTTCTCAAAGGCCTCGCAACAAAAAGAAAACATCCTGTATTATTTGTGTTAGAGATTTTTTAGAAAATTCCTCTTAATTTCAATTCCAGATTCTTTTCAAGCGTTCAGATGCAGTCTCCTGTCTTGAAATCTTTCACTTCCACAATAAATTACCAGTAGTAACCATAATAAGGAAAACTTCTTCCATAGCCGTAACCACCCCAACCCCTATAACCATTCCAGCCCCAACTAGGATAACCATTCCAACCCCATCCCCAACGTCGCCCATAGTAAGGACGATATCTCCAGAAACTGAATTCATCCGTCTTCATGTCGTCCTTTGCCTGGTCAAGTTGAGCATCGTTGTTGTCCACCGATTGGCCTGCTTCCACAGCGGGCATGTAGCTTGTGTCCAGCCGTGCTTGCTGTCTGCCCGCATTGACCGAGAGGTCGTGGAGGGGAGACCGCACCTCGTCCAAGGTTTGATGAGGTTCCTCCAGCCTTGCTGCAGTCTGAGAAATGGACTGTCCTGAACACAGACACACCATCGCCGTGCAAACTGCGAACGTGTACTGAAACAATCACATAACGTTAATTTACGTGGGCGGTGTTTTGTGTATTCAAAAGTTAATGTATAAGTCCGGCTTTCGGGAATGAACGTGTAGAAAATTCTAGGTTCTCCAATGTTTCCACAGGCATTTCAGTTGCCATATTCAGAGTTAATGTATTTGGGATCGGGAATCCTTATACAGAGCTGAGAATGGACGTTGAGTCGGATTTATGTAAAAGCATATTCATCGGGTGAAACCAAGCAGAAACGTGTTTAATGAAAAAAATATTCAAATGTCATTATTACACAAACCCCATTGAAAAGTTCTGACTTAAGTCTGATCATGTAAGCCCCATATAAAATCCTTGGAATATCACTACTAAACGTTTGATAATGTGTGAACCAGACGATTTATTTTATTTGCAGTTGACTTAACTACGCTTTCAGTAGTACACACCTATGGCGTAGAATGACTGGTTTATAGTAAATGATGAATTGGAAAGGGTATGGAAAGTAGCGGTTGTGGCTTAATTAAACGCATCGGAGGTACCGAGGAAAATCACGGAAAACTTCCATCGAGGTAGGCGGTGTCCTGGCCAAGACTCGAAACAGGAATCTCCCGATTATAATGCAGAAGCTCTACCACAAGAAGCAACTTACTCGATGTGTAAAGGGTCATATAATGCAGGCACTTACCACAGATGTTGACGTATGCCTAGCATGTATGGGACTGAAATTTAATGGGACACATCAGCTTCTAGTCTATGGTGATGGTTATTTTAGAAGTAAACGCAGAGAAAACTAAGTATATATTGCTGTCTCGTCACCAGAATGCATGCCAAACTCACAACATAGAAGACACTATAGATCATTTGAAAATATGGTGAAGTTCAAATATTTTAGAACGACAGAAACAATTCAAAATTTGTTTCGAGAAAATATTAAGAGCAAATTGAACTTCGTTAATGCCTGCCACCATTCAGTTCAGTACCTTTTGCCTTTGGTGTGTTCTCTAAACCAGAATTTAGAATTAAAGTATGTATAAGTAAGTATAATTTTTCGTGAAGTTCTTTTTATGGGTGTGAAACTTGGTCTCTGACATTGAGGGAAGAACATAAACCGAAAGCCTTTGAGAAAAGGATGCCGAGGAGAATATTTTGACTGAAGAGGGATGACTTAATAGGATGTTGGAGAAAACTGCATAATGAGGAGCTTTATAAATTATCGTCTTCGTCAAAGACAATTAGAATGGTCAGGTCAAGGAGATCGAGATTGTCAGTAGCACCAATGCGAGAGAAGAGGAATGCATACAGGGTTTGTGGGAAAACAGAAAAGAAAAAGGCAATTAGTAAGACCTAGAAACAGATTGGATGATAATATTAAAATTGAACTTTGAGAAATAGGATGGGCTAGTGTCGCCTACAGTCGTCTTGCTGAAGATAGGGACAAGTGGCTGGCTCTTGTGAACAAGGTAATGGATCTTCGAGTTCCATAAAATGCTGGGAAATTCTTGAGTAGCTGAGCGACTGAGGGCTTCTCCAAAAGACCTCGGCTGCATGAAGTCAGTTTAGTTTAGTTTAGTTAAGTGCCCTACAGAATAAGCTTCAGTATTCCGGTTTTCAAACCATAAGGAAATATGGAAAGATAATATTTGAGATACTTGGACGTAGATAAAATGTGATTAAATATGAAAGGATTACTGATGTGTTACTCACCATTATGGCCGCCATATCCTGCTGCCTCTTATCGCTCTTGCTCACTACACGTTGCCTGTCTTTTATATCCTGTCTTATATGTAAGGGTTTAATGGTACCACAAAGGAGGCCCCCTCTTCTGTTCCACAAGAAAAGAAAAACCAAGTCAGTGAGTAGAGTCGATGACCGCACGTAGAGGTCAAGGGTAGACGGCAGGAGATTCTTCAGTGTTTTCCTGTTCCACCTTCATCTCTCTCTTTATCACTTCTCACGCCGCTTCCCTCGGCCAGCATTAAGACAAGATGAGTTTTGTCTGCATTCCCTCCACCCACCATGTCTGCGTGGAGAGTATGTGAAATGCATGGTTACATGCTCAGGGCACAGTAGTACACATATAGTGGCTCGCGACCCATTCTTGTATGTGTTCCTCCTTGTATCCGCATATGCTTATCTTTATGTTATGTAGTATATATGGCTATCTGAAGGTTCATCTAATATTTCTAAACTTTCTGAATGTGAATACCGGACGTCCCCCCCCCCCTGTTTTTAAACTGTAGAAACGTAATACTTGTTATGAATGTGAGACGAGAGAGAATCGGTGCAAAGACATTGCACATACCTTCATATAGGCAGTTTGTCTGCTGTAGAGCGTGCCGTTATTCTCCTGAAGACACAAAGTATGTATTTTATATAGGGAGATATTCTTCGTTATCTTTTTAATTTAATTTAGTCAGAATCGTTACAGCCATTTTCGTGAGCACTGCAGGTGGACGTTTGGAGTTCCTGTGAAGGACCTGTATTTTAGAGCTACTACATTTATATTCTCCGGGCATTGACCTATAGTGGTTTAGTTCTTAAATGCCGAATATGAATAAAATTCCTCCAGCTCTTCAGGCGCTAGCTAGGAGCACGTTCATACTCGTACATGTAGAGAGACGGACGGAATATCAGAACTGTTTTCTCGTACTCAGGGGTGCTTGAAGTGACGGGAGGTTGGAGAAAACTGCATAATGAGGAGCTCCGTAACTTGTACTCTTCTCTAAGTATAAATAGAATGATCAAGTCAAGGAGGATGAGGTGTATAGGGTATGTAGCACGAATGGGGGAGATGAGGAATGCATATAGAATATTGGTGGGAAAGCCGGAAGGAAGGAGACCACTGGGAAGACCAAGACGTAGGTGGGTGGACAATATTAAAATGGATCTAAGAGAGATAGGATGGGATAGTGTGGGTTGCATTGATCTGGCTCAGGATAGGGAGCAGTGGAGGGCTTTTGTGAAAACAATGATGAACCTCCGGGTTCCATAAAATGCTGGGAAGCCCTTGAGTAGCTGCACAATTGGCGGCTTTTCCTGAGGGGCTCAACTCCATGAGTGAGTGAAATTGAATGAGTCAGGGGTGATGAAAAAGTGTAAAACCGCCAGATTCTAGACGTCGATTTTTTTTTTCATGATCACAGTCTTTACTCATGTTACATATAAGGTAACGTTGGAATGGATGAGTGGATGAATGGATGGATGAATTATTAGTTGGATGGGGAGAGAGACTTATGTGAATGGGTGGAATGGAGGGACAGACATACAGGCAGGCAAATAGAGATATCTAGGTAGGATAGGAAGGGAAGAAGAAAATAATGGAAGGCATAATTAAGAAAACTGCCCACACTCTTGTGAAGCAGTTTACCTGCTCGCATATCTGCGGTTAGTTACCTCCTTCTGTCAGTGGCAGTTCAACGTCCGTTTGCGTGCGCGCTGTCTTGCGGCTACGGAAATTATTTACAGTGCGCATTAATACAATTCCTCTCTCCTTCACAGTTTCTTCCAGGGTCATTCCCTGCTTCGGTGCTTGTCTCGAATATTTTCCGGCTCAAAACCCCATAATCTGTGCATCATGCCATCAAGCATACACGTTCACAGCTTTCAGCAACTTTTTACTCCGGTAGCCACCAGCTCCGTGTAAAACGCCCCAGACGTTTGCTTTGAGAAGCAAAAAGTTTGAAAGCTGCTTCTCTGTACATCATGTCTGTGCGTTTTTCTATTATCTCGTCTAAATCAGAACCATGTCACAATTTCATTAAAGGTGATATGAGAGAAACCGAGCAGGTTGACACAGCGGTAACGTTCTAGACCCGTATTAGGGAGATGTTCGGTTTGAATCTCAGCTGAGACACCTATCATTACTGATGTTCTTAGTGATTGTCCTCAGTCGCTTCAAGAAAATTCCGAGATAATACCTCGATAAGAGGACTGCATCTTCCTTTCACATTTTTTCCAATTCATCATTCACGAGTCACTCCACCCATGGATGCTATGTAATCGTATGTATCCGACAACTCCTCTATTTTTCGTGTGTATTCGTTGTTGCCGTAACGTTCTTGCCGAGCCGTTGCCTAGCAACATACAAATACGGACACACGGGCTGTTGGGAGGGATTTATTAAGTACGTCGTTGAAATGGGTTCAAGAGATATGATATATGTACCAAATTTCATAAAGTTTGGTTCAGGCATTCAAAAGTTTATAGGGGGAGGGAATAGATTTATTCCTGGGGAAAGAGCTTCCATTGGATAGGAGACTGGATGGGCCCCAGGTAAGGTCTGGAAGCTGTGGAGAAGAGAAAAGTCGCTTGCCCCTGCCAGGATGATATCCCCAGCTGCCCTGCCCATAGTCTGTCACTATATTGACTGGGCTGTGAAGAAGAAGAAGAAGAAGAAGAAGAAGAAGAAGAAGAAGAAGAAGAAGAAGAAGAAGAAGAAGAGGAGGAGGAGGAGCTATGCTTGTAACAGGCCTTGCAGGCCCATAGGGTTGTGAGATGTTGAGGCCCCCACATTTTCACAGCTGGCAGCGAGGTTGTCAGCTTTACATGCTAGCCACACTTTACCCTCAGGAAGATTCCCTGTACTCTTTTCTGTTAGAGGCTGAGTCAACCCCAGGGCCATTGTGTGTGGCTGGAAGGATTAGGTCAATGTTCTGTTGATATTTAGACCTTACAAATATTGGCCAATATGTCAGTCAGTTGCATTGACTCAATATACCCATTTTGGAATTAAATGGAAAAGTATGAAGCCATGACAAGCAAGATGTTCTGCAAATAAGATATGGCACCTGCTCTCCATCCACAGTCTCAGTCTATGTGGTGAGAATAGCAGTGCCCATAAGTTCATCCTGATGTTATTTAAACCTGACAGCCTCACCACCATCTGTAAACTGACTATCTACAAAATATGGGAGCCTCAACATCTCATGACCCTATGAACCTCCACAGCCTCTTACAGGGATAGCTCTTCCAGTTTCTTCAAATGTACAGATGACATTACGTGGGAGCCAATTGAAATAATGCTAGAAATGAAATTGCAAAGAGTTGTTACAGTGTGTAAAGATTGTAGATTTCCTATCCATTTGACCAAATGTATTATTATGAAAATATGTAGGAAAATAGGAGACAGAAAAGATTGATGATATAATAATTGAATAAAGGAAGTGGAGGATTATGAGTAAGTTTGAAGTAAAATAATGACAACCACAAGAATACAGGGAGACTACATGAAGAATAAACTATGTTGAAAAATGTTTCCAATGAGTTAGGGATAAACTTTGGAAATGGCCGATGCAAATGGGAGAAATATGTTGATTTAAAAACCTTTAGACCCATTATAACGTATGGAACAAAAACAAGAGTGCAAACAAAAACAGATACAGTAAATTAAAAATAACATCTAAGATGAACTTTTACAAAGTTCAGAAGTAAAATAGATGGGGGTTTAGAATATATAAGGATAAGGTAATAAATAACAGAACAAGGTGGTGCAGAGATATATGGAAATAGTTTGTTCTCAGACGATCCACATAAAATTGGGAAGTCAAAGGAAGAATCAGAATGTGTGCTTTTGTGTGTGTACATACATTAATAATCAAAAACAGAATTCAAAAACCAACTCCCTACAGTACGCTACAGTAAACAATCGTACCAATAAATGGAAATGAAACTTCTAAGACAGGATGTTTCTCTATACTGTTCTGTACAACCCACAGCAAGACTATTTTGCATGTGTTGTGCTTTCAACCCCATTGATTTTAAAGGCAAAAGCTCTGCTGTGTCTGTGTTTGGTAGGACATAAATTAAAAGTCAATAGAAAGTCCGTCGAGTGTAACAATTTATAGGTCACTTCTTTATCACTTCTGCCTTACATGTTTCGGTTTAATAAAACCATCATCAGAGGCACATAGTACAAGCATGAAAACACTGCCGTTGTTTAAGATGTACACAGTTATGTTTGCTGCGTGAACGCAGCTACAATATGTCGACGTGTAAAAGTACAACACTTGCTAGGATTGTTGAATGCACGTTCAATTCTCACATTCATCCGAAACTGCCCTCAAGTTAAAACGCTGATGTTAAAATATTTAAAATTTAAAACATTTGAAGTAAAATGTTAAGCTTCTCCTTGTTAATTCATCCCGAAGATGGGAGATGTCAGCTTGAGGATGTATGGCTTATGGTTAGATGTTTCCTATGTGCTGTGTGTTGTGTNGTACTATGTGCCTCTGATGATGGTTTTATTAAACCGAAACATGTAAGGCAGAAGTGATAAAGAAGTGACCTATAAATTGTTACACTCGACGGACTTTCTATTGACTTTGTGATTGATAGTGTAACGGACCAAAAATGAAACAATTCAAAACATAAATTAAATGTAACAGTTTCGTTGTCACTAGAATTTATAACCAATCTTAGCCTTTGTATCTTTTTAAATTAATTTAGAGTAGCTACACCATCGGATGAAAAACTGAGTATCATAAAATTACTTGCAAACAATTATCTTTGCATTGTGGTTTGAAAATAGACAGTTGTATTACATCTTTGACATCCACGGGGGTCCAAGGGCATGATGGGATTACCTGGCGATTTCCGGTTGTATCGTGTAATGGAGGATTTTTCAAGTCTCGGTGTGCGTGTGGGAAAAAAGTATTATTTAAGCATCTGTTTGTCGTTTTATGCGATTTTGGACAGAAAATGATTATACTGAAATGCGTTTGAAAAGAGGTAAATAAATGCTATTATCTTTATATGTACTGACTTGAGTTTTACATTATAAATATTTAATGTACTCTGGTAATATTCACGTTTTGTAATATAATGTTAGTAATTATTTATGAAGCCAAATAAGAAAAAAGAAATACATAGGTTACGTATTCAGTTGTAAATAAGACAAAGAAATGTTTAATGGCATATAATATGGAGATGTTAGGCATGTGTTGGAATTTTTAATTCTACGGAAACCGCCGATACCATGCTTGAATAACCCAGATTAATTTTTAATGTAAATACGTACCCCAAAGATTATTTGGATTTGATTGACCAGAATCTAACAACGACCAATTTTTATGGGAGGTGACCATTAATAGTGCTTTTTTGATTTTCCGCAATGGATAGTATCCTATATTAGCCTGCTTCCCATCCATTCTTGTCCCCATTTGCCTTCATAATATAACCTCATCCGCCCTCATTACGTTATATAAATTTATCAGGTTTTTATAGACTATGAGTAACGTAAGGAGTAAGTTTTAGCCTTAAGGGTAATTTATATCTTGGAAAATATTTGTAACACATGAGAATGCAATATCGGTACATGGTAAAAGGGGAACTTGTTCAGCAGCTGTAAGTAAGGTTCTGATTAACATTATGTATTACCGATCTCTTCACCTTTTCCTGAATCCCATTTCATAATGAAGTTCAGTGAAATGATAGCCTTCATATTTTGTTACAATATTGTTCACAATTGGTACAGTCAGCATATGATTTAAAAGTCTGCAATAGAATGAAGAATAGAAAATGTGAATAATGTATTAATGGCATTGAAAGGCACTTGAATTGAAAGTTGTGTATACAGTGTAAGAAGTTCCTGAACTGAGGCCATAAAAACACACAAAGGAGATAAAAAATATGAATACCATCACTCATTATAGTCCCTGCCTGCTTGCACACGTTTACATTGCTCATATGATGAATGCCTGAGAAAATGCTTCTTCCTGTATTGCCTTCAGGTCTCTTGTCACAATCTACTGGATCAATGGAACAGCCTTGAATATCATCCCTTTCATTGGAGTTTTTAATTTAGGAAATTAAAAAAAAATGATTGGGGAACCTTGTTTGATTTCATCCAGTTCATAAGTGTCATTAAGCACATTAGCCACATTTAAAAATGTTGGATAATGCTGTAGTGTTTGTATGGGGGGGGAGGGGCATCTGTAACAATTGCTCCAACCATCCTTTGCTAGGAAACGTTTGGGTAAACACCACCTGAATGCTGGAATAGCAAGGAACAAGTAGAACTCTTGTTTGCAAAGGTTTCCATGGATACAAGGAATCACCAGACGATTCCACTACAAAGGATACAGGAGACCAAAAGCTTCTATTCCAGCCTCCCGAATGTATCAAAGAGAGTTCATTCATGAATTCAATTCATTTGTTTGTAATAGAATTCAGGAGGCAGTTCAGTAGTTGAATGTTCAGCTGTGAAATGTTAACCAGGTAAGATTCGTTACCAAGCAACGACTAGCAAGCAGACATTGAAGACTTTATTTTGTGTGCTATAGTTACAGTAATCTGTAGAGTGTTACAATTCAGTAGATAAGTTTTTATGTGTTCTATATTTACACTGTTGTTCGGCATTTAACTTTTTCCATCTTGGTACATTATTACAATTACCTTTTTCTGATCGCTTCCTTTTCCTGTAATCTCATATATAGCATGACTGTTTCCAGTGGACATCTTATCAGTGCGTGACATCATACACTGGCAGCATCCACTAAACAGTGGAACTGAATTAGCTGTATATACAAACAAATGCTCATAACTTCTAAACCATAAGTGTTGGACCAAATCAGGTTGCATTTTTGAGAAACCCACATTTATTAACGCATTTCACTCACAATATGTCCAGATCCCGGGGGCATCCCCGGGATCCCAGATAGATGGCAACAGTTCGTGGATGTAATTGTAAAAGTGTGTACATTGAAGAAAGCAGTCTTCTGGGATTTGGCACCATGTATATGTGGTGTTAACTGACGTTTCGGAGGAACGTATTGCCTCCATCTTCAGGGGAGGCAATACGTTCCTCCGAAACGTCGGTTAACACCACATATACATGGTGCCAAATCCCAGAAGACTGCTTTCTTCAATGTACACAGTGTTACAATTACATCCACGAACTGTTGCCATCTATCTGGGNTTGTTCAACAGAGCTATTCAGAACAGCTAGGAGGTTTTAAGAATAGCAAGGTAAAAGCAGCACATGGACACGTGCTATGTGACAGAAACGTGTATCACTGAATATGCAGATCAGTTACCACAAACCTAGAATCATGTGCAGAAAGTTGTAATGTACTGTTTTCTACAATAAAACAGATTAATGCAGTGTGTTTATTGGCATTTGCCTGGAGGGACTAGGGAAGCCCAGAACAACTGTCACATTGAGTATTCTGGCTGAGATTTGAATCAGACACTTCCCAAGTGGAAGCCAAGTTAGAATGTCAGAATTCCCTGTGGTTTCTTAGTGAGTAGGCTCTATTGAATGTGTGTGGTATGATGTCGGTCATCTTTCTCAAGTAAGCCAGTCAGTTTTCCACTGGTAATCATCATCCTGCCATTGTTCCACACATCTGTACCATCCTCTGAGGTGTGCAGTAGCCTGGCTACACAGCACATCGCATCCTTAATCTTTAAGCTGGGGTTTCTGCTCTGAGCAAGCACCCGGCTGGTTACAGAGTATGGAAGTTGAGTGTTCATGACAGTTATTTTGTCTTTCATTTAATAAACCATGCAAATCCTCACCTGCTCCCCGTCTTCCAGCTTTCGAACTGCTATATTGAATTTTGATACTCCCACAAAAGTTAGTCAGCATTTGAGCTGCCTTAGCACATGGATGTAATTTACAGCTATGTAAGCTTTATACAATGGTGTTTTATTATAATTTCTGTATTATTACTATTTTTCAGCAGTCGTGGAGTGGCATCAGTGGAGAATTACCATTTTCAGTGACCAAATCACACTGGTTTCACGCTGCATGAAGAACATCCGTCCTCCCACCACCACACAATGAGGACATTGACTTCAGACTAAGGGAAATACATGTTGGAAGTTGCGCCCTTTTAGTACACAGCAGCTATGAGGAGTTCCAGTAATAAAGGTGTGTATCATTCCAGGAACTAACTAAAATTTAACAGTCTTGAGTCATCCTGAATTTGCAAACCAGTTACATAGATCACTTCCTAGAAATATGTTAATTTTTGGCACTGGTGTTAAGGGAAGTTTGAGTGTCAAGGAAGTTCCTGCTGTGTGAGATTTGCAGTTTCTACTTCTTATGGTGTTCTGGATTATAACATTATGTAATCTCAGAAGAATCTGTTGCCTCAGTTTTCGAAGTAGAAGATTCAGGCAGTAATGTTCTCTGAAAAACACTTGTAACCACCTATGAGGCTATATAACCCAGATGACTACAGCCTAGTTTTCCTCTCATACTGCATGACAACTGTGAGGTGTTCCAGTAAAGCAGTTGTGTGTTTCATCTGCTAACTGAAATCTAAAAGTTGTTATCATGTTAAATTTGTGATCCATTTGATAAATTGACTTCCATTTTCAGTTGTTGCTGTGTGTTGACAGTCTTGGAGAGGCATGAGGTGCTGTTCTTTGTGATGAAGGGTGTACTCAGTTTTCTGCTGAATGAGGAACATCTCTCGTCTCCCCACCATACTTCAGCCGTACTGTGTCACAGCTGTGTGGAGGTTACATAGTAAAGGTGTGTGCAGAATTCTGATGTGTAGAGACATTGAGAGATAAACATGACTACTGTATGTGGTATTAAAAGTATTTCCAGGTGCATGTGATATTGACACTTTGATTAAAAAATATTCCCATATTGTTGTGAAGTGAAAGTCATATATTATATTGCAGACATATGTACAGCTGTGGCAGAACCTGTAAGCAATGTGTTTCCTAGAATGATTTCCATGGTTACTTCACTGACCTCCAGAGATACTATCAGGAGATTACACATAAGTGGAAACCACCACTGATCTGTAAGTACCATGTTATCCGCATTTTATTATATTATTTATGATGTATGGGTCCATAATTGTTGGCCCATTTCTGTAACTACAGTTTTTATGTACAAAATGCAATATACCTGATTAAATATTCCCCACACAAAAAACTGTTTAAAAAAGACATACTGAACATGACTCCGTGAGGCAGTCTTTTTTTGAGAAGCTAATAGTTGCTCAGTCAAATTCCCTGCCTTATATGAAACCTAAAGAATGTTGAACACAAGGTGATATGTGTTTTATAACGTGTAGGCTTATACATGTTATTACAAAAATTGTGATCTCTGTTGTGGAAGGTCTGATGCACAGTTCTATTTAGAATGCTTGATACTGTATATCTTGTCTTTTCACAAATGCTGGTGACATGGATGTTGCATGTTATGCAAACACAAAAAATATTCAAGATGTGTCTGGTGTTGCATCAGTTGTGTCCTTGCCTTAAGTAGCAAGTCATCACGTAGGCTGATGTAATGGATATGTTGTCCAATTGAATCTGGACTTTTGGGTGCCTTTGTGCTGCTGATCAGATATTTGTGGAGTCAGTTCACAGTATTAAATCTTCAGTTTAAACATTATTTAAAACAGTAAAAATCAAGGTGTGAAAGAATATTGTCACATAGCCTGGTAGCACAAGTAATTAATGGGTTCTGGATTAGATGAACTGATTTATTGGATATTCACCACGTGGATCTACAGTTAGTTGTAACACAGCCTTTCTGTAACTACACCACATAAAATAAAGACTTCACTTCTGATTTCTGTTTTTGGAGGAACATGTTGCCTCCATCTTCAGGGTCAGAAAATAAGTCAAGCAAGTGGCAAGCTTGGCTTATTTTTCGACCCTGAAGAGGGAAGCAACGTGTTACTCTGAAATATCGGTTGATTTTCAATGGCTCATGGAGCCTTATATCTCAGACGACAGAACTCTTCATAACCAACAGTGTGAGAAACCTTACATTAATGATTTTCTGGAATGTGATGGTGTGTAAGACACGCTGTCATGCAGGAACCAGCTCCATCTATCTTGGTATTAAAAAGAGAAGGCAGCAGGTTTCTCCAGAACATTGTTGTCTATCTACCAGAACATAACACATTTCAACCTTGTAAATTCAATAAAAATAAACATTTAAAACCCTCTTCAAATTTTTAAGCATGAAACTTTACTTGAATGTCTGTATATTCACCATGTAACACTAACATGTTTCAGCCTCAGGTGTTTCAATGTGCATTGCAGTCCACTCAGAATAGCATAAATAATTACTTAAAATTCATTACAGTTTGTTCTATTAAAATCTTTCATAAAATCCTATTCCACTTGTTTAAGGCTATGTGATACTTCAGACTGTTTCAGCAGCCTGTTGTTTTGCTACGCCTGCTATCTGTAATTTTCCCCTAGCATGTGGTTGTTGTGTTAAGTGTTAAATGGTGAATATTTTAATGATTGTTGCATCATTGACAGACTTGATACATAGACGTTCAATTAAAGATGTGCAACATGATGCTGAAATACAGTGCGTACAATCAAGTGCGCGCCGCGGCTGCAATTTGCCGTGAGTCATACNCCTCTTCAAATTTTTAAGCATGAAACTTTACTTGAATGTCTGTATATTCACCATGTAACACTAACATGTTTCAGCCTCAGGTGTTTCAATGTGCATTGCAGTCCACTCAGAATAGCATAAATAATTACTTAAAATTCATTACAGTTTGTTCTATTAAAATCTTTCATAAAATCCTATTCCACTTGTTTAAGGCTATGTGATACTTCAGACTGTTTCAGCAGCCTGTTGTTTTGCTACGCCTGCTATCTGTAATTTTCCCCTAGCATGTGGTTGTTGTGTTAAGTGTTAATGGTGAATGTTTTAATGATTGTTGCACCGTTGACATACTTGATACATAGACGTTCAATTAAAGATGTGCAACATGATGCTGAAATACAAAACAAAACTTTACCTTGTCCTTGTATAATTTTTCACAATTTCAAAAACACCAAGTCCATGTTAACTGATATCCATCTTGTTCTCTCCTATCCAGGCCATTATGGTGCACCCATTCCTGTGCTTATCCTGAAAAACAAATGTTGCAATTGTTAGTGGGACTCATCCATACAAAGAAGCTGTGAGCTCTACATGACCAACCCCTCTTGTCAGCATGGAAGGAAGAGTGACGCGAACACCAAGAAGTCAACAAGTGAACAGGTTGGAGAAGCTTACATGTACCACATATTACTAGACACATGAATTAAAAATTATAGAAACTGAATTCCTAAATGTGGAATGAAGAAGTGTGCTACAAAACTACCGAGTCTACCACACTGCTTAGTAACATACAGACTGTACTCGAAGCTCTGTAGACTGGTCTCCAAAATGAAATTTGCCTTAGGAGCCAGTAAACAGTATAGTCAAGCCCCGATTTGAGGTGTTCAGTTTATATAAATTCCACATGTTCCCCTGTCCACTGCTTCCCAAAGAAACCTGACATGGGGGTTTCACTGTATAGCACTGAATTCAAAGTCATATCACCTCAGATTAATTTTAAATCTTAAAAATATGGTGGCACTGCAAACTTCTTCAGGAATAGTATCTGTCAAGTTAATGAAAATATAAAAGTAAAAATGGCAAACACAAGCCTGTGTTTCATTTTTCTGAATACACAGCTTAAAGCATTTACTAAGTTGTGTCCCATCTGGTCTATAAGTCATACACTTAAACACCAGAACAGTGGGTGTGAATTTTCACTTTGAGGGGAGCTAATGCAATGGATGGAAGCAAAGATGGAAGTAATTTCTGGATCCTTTTGAAACAAATATTTGGACACTAAGCAGTAACTGAGATGGATTGTGTTCTTCAAGCTAACATCTCTGTGCTTTTTGCAGTTCCTTTATGAGCTTACTGTACACCAAGCAGAAGTACCTGTTCTTTGCATAGGATATAGTTGCTTGAATCAGTACATTTGTAACCATCAACACAACATTTAAAGTAGGAGTAATAACAAAGGTTATTTACATTAATGAACAGTCTCAAAGACTGAATGCAGAACATGACAATACATCTCAACTTACACCCCATTATAAATAACATGCAGTGCAAGAGACCTATAAAATCACTACCTGGCCTACAACACCAAGGAAGAATCAAGATAAAAATAGCCAGTGTACCATTAGAATGATCAAATAGAAATTCATGACCAATTCTCACTATTTATTCTTATTTATATAACTTGGCAATTTAACAGAAATCCATACATACTGGGTGTAGCACTAAAATTCTTTTCACTTGTTTTACACCAATATGGCTTCAAGCCAAGGAGTAATCAAACCACAGGTTATTACTAAACAATAATCACATAATTTTATAGTCAAATATGAACAAAATATGGATCCATATTTGAACAGAAAAATTCAGCAACTAAGTAAACTGAGATATGCCTGATGATGACCCAGTAAGGGTTGAAACATGTTGTGTTGACAGTTATAAGTATACTGTTTCAAATGACACGTAACAGGATGCAACACCGAAAGATGTAGTTGCTGTCCTTGTCAATGTCACAGTATATACATAGTAAGTAAAACAGAGAAGGCAGGGAATAAGAATTAAAATTGGACCCATAAACTCTATTGGGATATCCGCACGGTGCTTTAACTGCTGTATATTTTGCAAAACAAAGTAAATTTCATATTTTGAGTGTTCTCTTTTAGATCTGCAATAGAAAAGAAGAAAGTTACGTCTTTGTATACTTAGGTTCCCTTTGATATTCTATTTGTGTATGTCAGTTCACCTACTTCAGTGTTCATGTAAAGTTTTCTTGGTATTTGAGACACACGGACACACAAGATGAAGACAATTCTCTGACCTACTCCAGCACTGGAGTAATGCAGACATACACAGAAAATTACACTCTGAAAACAAAATAACACACCTTCATATAGAGATTCCACATTGCAGTGGTGGAGGGGGTGCTTCAAGTCTAAAGTCACCGTCCTCCTCATGGCCAATGTTCAGTGATTGATGATATGGGCTGCTTGGGTGCACTTGTTCCATCCAGAAATGTGACATCATTTGTCTGGAACTGTCAGCAGAACATAACATTTTAAATTTTAATACAAATATTAGCATTGGAGATAATTTTTCCTTCTTAAAACTCAATGCAATTGAAGCTGGGAATAAAAATGATCCACAAAATAAATTAATCAAAATGAAAGCCCTTAAACAGACACCTTTACTACAAGGAACTGCCTGTAGTTAATGTGCAGAGGGAACAAACTTCAAGTTGCTCCTTCCCAAGTCTGAAGTAACTGTCCTCCACATGCAGAGTCCAGTGATGGTAACTACTTCAGTGCACCTTGCTCCATTCAGAACCAATGCCATCCTTCACCACAGCAATTTCTTCAAAGAACCCTGTCCAAGACTCAACAAAAAGCAGCAGCATTAATAAAAGCCTCAGAAAAATAAAAACTTTAATCCAAACAGCAATATCTGACGTTAAATTTAAATCCATTCTTAGGGATTCCATAGTCTCTGTGAAGTGGGAGGGAAGAAACTTTACAGGAGTTTACCAAAAATGCTCCAGACACTGGAATTTTCCACTCTGTTGCACAGATAAACAAGATAGCATAGTATTCATGGCCATACCTTCATTACAGGGCCTCCTCACAGATGACGTAGCATGTATGAACAACCTCCCAACTTCTCCTTCCTCAGTCCAAAACTGATGACCATCCTTCACTGCTTGGTACAGCAAACCAGTTTCTCCCTAGCACTGACAAATGGTAAGCTGCATGAAACATTCGCTAGATTTTAGATATGTCTTTCTTACATGAATTTCCAAAAATTATATCCACAATTAGGACCTTTCCTGTGACTCTTCATGGATAGTGTTTCAGTGATACTCATCAACGCTTGAAAGGGTGACTCCTCACTGAAGTGTGTCCAGGCCTGCCAACAGACAGTAATAACATAAAGCCTTATACTGCTATGTACTAAAATGCATCTACTGCAGTTTGAACAGTGCAAAAGATAAATGTTACCAGAAGCCTGTCATCCCAGTGAGGCCATGGGATTTTTCAATTGCTCTAATCCTTCCTGCCACACTATCATCCTGAGGTTGACTCGGCCCCTAACAGGAATGAGTACCAGGAATCATCTGGGGGTNGGGGGGGGGGGTCAAGGCAGCTGGTGCGTAAGGCTGACAACTTCAGGCCTGTAACTTGGTGCATATATTAAGTGAAAGGGAAATTTAACAATAATTCCAGACTTACTTCCCTAACTTAAGCTAACACTGATGTGAGGGCAAGCATAGACATGCTTCATAAATAATGAATCAGAAGTGAAAGTGAATAAAACAGTCATACTGAAATGTAAAGATGATGCATTGAAAATATAATGAACTACTTCATAAAAGTTGCTTTCGAGGTACTATTTCATGAACACTTTCAGAATATGGTAACAAGTACAGTTATAATGCTCTTGCTCAGGATGTTCATATTAAGAGCCCAAAATGTTCTCTACTCAGATGAGAAACTGAACTAACCTAACCAAATCTTAACAGAAATCTTCAAATAAAAACTGATGCAAGAGACAAAGTTGGCACTAAATATTTATGGGTTAATCCTCATTTACATTTAAAAAAATAAGATTACACATTCAAAGAAGGTTGGAATTCGTAACATCAAGTTAAATTATGCTGAAGCAAGTACCTCATTTCTGATGTACACTAGAAACATTTCTCAAGACTTATAATACAATGACCATATTTAACTGACTGAAAATCATATATACAGATGCTAGCTCTATCACAAACTAGTCACGCATTTCGGAATACTAGCCTTAGTACAAGCCATAACTACCTTAATAATATATCAAACATTATACATACATTTTCATTAACATGTACTACACACTTAGCAAAATTTGAACCATGTGCACTCACTTGCAACTAAATGCCATGTGAATGTTCGGTTCTCTGGGCGAGGAATCAGACTTACGTGACATTAAAGCATATGCTTACCACTAGTAACAATATGCATATAAGTCAAATTAAATGATTTCCATAATCTGATGGGATGGAGATGCAAGTAATACATTTCCGCCCATTTGAAATCCACGTCCAGTTCTTCGGTTCCAGCCCTGTGAAAGTCCCATGTTATTGGTGGATGCTATGGCCGCCATGACATCATGGTGCAATGCTGCTGCCATCTATAAGGCTCCTACATTAACTAAACTTAAAATGACCGACAGGGCCGAGAGCACAATCGGTAAGAAGGTATGCTAACATAACAATTTTGAGTGTTTCCCCCCCCCCAACCTATTTCTATTTTTGAAATGTGTTCAATATCGCTACTTAAGGAGTATGAAGTTGGCAGGGATGCATATAGGATATTGGTGGGAAAGACAGAAGGAAACAGACTACTGGCAATACCAAGATGTAGGTGGGTGGACAATATTAAAATGTAACCTAGAGATAGTATGGTATGAATTGGATTGATCTGGCTCATGATAGGGAGCAGTGGAGGGCTCTTGTGAACACAGTAATGAACCTTCAGGTTCCATAAAAGGCTGGAAAATTAGTATGGTATGAATTGGATTGATCTGGCTCATGTTAGGGACCAGTGGAGGGCTCTTGTGAACACAGTAATGAACCTTCGGGTTCCATAAAAGGCTGGAAAATTCTTTGAGTGGCTGCATAATTGGTGGGTTCTTAAGAAGGGCTCAGCTCCATGAGTAAGTTCAATATCACTTCACCCACATTCTTTCAGTTGGATTTGAGTGAAATGCTATTAAACTTGGTACCCCACCCATACAAAAGAAAATAATGCAATAAGAGCCTCTGCAGCTCTGGAGTACAATAGATTAGGTTGCAGATTATTTATCTGGAGAAAGTTTCTCGCCAGTGCCTGGAAAATAATAACCTTTCTTTCACATGGAGTACTTGTATTTAGGAAAGCTGAAGGTGGGGAAACTTGAAAGAAAATTCCTCATAACTTACACTTGAAAGCCATACAGAACACAGTTTTTCGGTTACATTCAAGTATTATAAATTGTGTATTGTAGGCAACAGTACTCATGTTCCAATTTATTATTATTTTCATTAGAATGATGGAATTTGAGAATGTGAAATACACACTTGTCAACAAGATTAAGACTGCATTTAATGATATAAGAAAATCTGATATGTTCATCTTCACCAGTTCAGTACTGGGCAGAATAATATGGTGGAAATAATAACATATCTTAAAGAAATATAATGAATACTGGAATTCTGTTATCTATTCACCTTCTAGTTCAGTATTGGATACGATTATATAGCAAAAATTAATAATATATCTGAAAGAAATGCAATTACTATTGAAAATCTTATGTTCATGTTCACCAGTCCAGTACAGGTAGGATTATATGGCAAAAGTAACAGAAGGAATACACCTATAACAACAAAATTGAATAACAGTTTAACGAAAATGAAATAGGTAAAGAAATGACATAAATAGTCCTACCCACATTCAATCCTCATACTGATTCTGCTTCTCAGAGTTTCACACTGAGGTGGATAACCTGAACTTTGCAAGTCAATTATAAAGTAATGCCTCTTCATTCTTACCTACACATAAACACCAATGTGTGTTAGAAAACAATTTCGCACACAGCTCTCGATTTAATTTTAATTACGTGAAGATAATAACAGTAAAGAACCAAGACTATTATCAGTCACAGGAGAGGAATAAAAAGGGTATTTTGGTAGGATAAATTGAAGGATCTGTTGGGGATACAAATAGAATATTTAGATGGATGTTGGGAGAAGTGGGGGTAGGGTGTGGACAGGATTCTTTTATTATTTTTATTGGAGTGAGAGACCATTTGATACTCTGGCTAGTTGTAGCTTATTGTACCAACCCTAGATGATGGTGATTGTAGAGCAATTGGTGGAACGAAGATTCGCAGGGGAAATCGAAGTACTTGGAGAAAGTCTGTCCAAGTGCCACATCGTGTCCACCACAAATCCCACATGACGAGGCCCAGAAAGCTAGTGTAGGAGTCGTGTAGTTGAGAGTAAGGGGCAATGAGTTCTGTGAGAATGCAGTGAGGTCGCGGGTTGTATGAAATGCTAATTTCTTCGGGCACTGAGCAGCTGTTTGCAGGGAGTCAGCACAATGAATTTCATGGCCGTAAATGTACAGGTGGGCGGCTATAAGACGCAGTGGAGATTTCTCTGAGGCCAGGGACCATACAACAGTGCCTGTAAGTTCAAATTAAAATTTCCATTAGTATAATGAAGCCTGTTAGCACATTTTTGCCACGAGAAAATTCAGAGTTTCGGTCGAAGGAAAAACGTTTGCCCCAAGAGAAAAGGTGTGCCAGGCATTGTACAGCGTATGTGTAAACGAACCTCCACTCCCCCCTCAAAAATACTAGTGTATATCTAGGTGTTTGCTGCTGGCACCTATGTGTATGCGACTGATAGCATAGAAGGGTATGTTCTTAGAACGCTGCAACGAGGTCTAGATGCGATTGAGGCGCATTGTGAGCGCTGGAACAAAAGAAATGAAATTTTATGTCAAAGAGAGTTAGTTCGGTTGCGTGTCATCTCGTATTGAACGGACGAAGAACCCCTTCA